AGAGATTAAATGCTATTTAACCTAAAGAAAGAGAGAAAATAGTTATTGCTTGAAAAAGTATACATATATAAAAATAGGTTTAATTATACTTTTAACTCATTCAATTTGATTTAAGTTTCACTTTTGTCCTTATTGTTTTAAAATTGAACAATTTAATTTTTATACTTTAAATTTAGTTTTAATTTGGTCATTCTGTTCAAGTTTGAGATTAAGATTAGGGGCTAATTTGAAAAGATAGTTAAAAGTTAAATTTTTGATTTTTTTAAGAAAAAAAACCATGTAAAAAACTAAAGAGGTGATGTGACTCAAAATAGATTAAAAGTTAGCTTTTAACTTTTAGTCATCTTTCCAAATTAGTCCTAAGATTAACAATTTTGAAATACTTATCAAGTGTATACATGTTAAAAAAAAAATTAATAAAAAGTTGTACGAAATGACTAAATTGAAACTGGTTTAAAGTGTAGGGTTAAATTGTTCAAATTAAAATTATAAGAATCAAAATAAAATTTGAATTAAATTATAAAAGTAAAAAGTGCAATTAACCTAAAAATTATAATAAATAAATCTAAAAAAGAAAAGAGTATTTTGAAAATACTTAAATGGCATGGTATGAAACTTTGTGATATGATAATGAGATGACATAAAACAAGCAAAGGGGCAATAAAGTCAATTTGCCGAGGCCGAAATTTTCGTCGTAGTGGCATTCAGCCTTTATATTTATATATAAGAGTAGAAAGAGTGGAGCGGTAATCATGGCTTGTCATTTGTGGTGCAAAATGCAAATGACACGCTACAGTTAATAGTAATTTCACTGTTAGGAGGTTGGGATATGGGAACATTTCTGTTTTTGAAGTACAAAACATAGCCACTGCAGATTTGTTATGACATTCTGAGATTAGACTTAAAGATTTTAAGGTAGGAGAGGAACAGAAGATAAAATCATTTAATTGGTGTGCATTTTGTGTTTTGGTGAGGGGCCCAAGTTTTTCAGATTGCAAGAGTAATTACTGTGCAATACTTCAACTCCAACTTCCTCCAAAAGGTCGTACTACTACTACATGCATATGAAACTGATGAATTGAACATCTAAAGAACCATGTAGTTTTTTTTTTGAAAATGCCTCCGACACCCACTGGGACGACCCCCAGTGGGGGTGCGGGGGGTCGTGCGTGTCGAGCCGGGATTGGCAAAAAAAAAACTATTTTTTTTTTCTTTTGTTTTCAGCCAATGAGGCCGCGCCATGTCACTGGGGGTCGGACCCCCACTAGGGGTCTGTAGCATTGTTCTTTTTTTTTTCCTTAGCTTTTATATTTTAGTAAAAGTTGAATATAAGATGTGTCACTAATATATTGATTTGGTAAAACTCAATTTTTATATTGACAGAACATCATATGGCCTGTAAAATAGTTAAACGCATGTTAAACATTTCTCAACATATATTGCAGACATTTGGATTTCTCTTGCTATAGAATTGATTCCAAGTAAAAGAATTTCAAATCCATAATCTTGAAGTTTAGGTTTTGCAACAATAAATCATTAATTATTATGAAATTCAATAAATAAATAAATAAGATTTTATTCACACTTGTTGGACTTCATTTAAAATATAATATATATATATATATATATATATTAAAGAGTTCTATTATTTAAACCAAGCACGAAATATATTTTATTCACCAAACAAAATAGAACTATTAATAAAAGACTAACCAATATTGAAAAATTTAAAAAGTTAATTAGAAATGATGGGTGAGAATAAAGGTTGCAACGTTAGTTTCTATGCTTTGAGCTTTCTCTTTTCTTTTGGGTTTTTAGCTTTTCTACTCCCATCCCATGTGCCCTTGTTAATGGGGAATGGGTCTTCTTCTTCTTCTTATGATTTCAGAGTTTCAGATTATGTTTCTCAATCTCTGTTGGATGATATGTCACCATGTATGTAGGTGATGTTAAAAACTTTCCAAAATACATGCTTTGCTACTAAGCATTTTTAAGATCATCAGTTGAGCTCTCAATTTTAGTTCATCCATAAGGTGAAGAAAATATCACAAAAATTAAAATTTCAATATATTTTTTCTTATGCATCTCAAATACATTCATACAGTTCTCTCTCTCTCTCTATATATATATATGTATAATTTTACAACTCTTTTTGCACGTTCAATCTACCATCTAGATTAATAATAGCCCTTACAATAGTTATTAATAACATAGAAACAAAACATCAAATTAGACATTAAAAAAAAAAACATGAATAAATATGTTTTTACAAGATTTGTTGGTGGGTCTAGTCTTAAAAAATTCATACAGTTCTCTCTCTCTCTCTATATATATGTATAATTTTACAACTCTTTTTGCACGTTCAATCTACCATCTAGATTAATAATGGCCCTTACAATAGTTATTAATAACATAGAAACAAAACATCAAATTAGACATTAAAAAAAAAAACATGAATAAATATGTTTTTACAAGATTTGTTGGTGGGTCTAGTCTTAAAAAAGAGTTTATTGGTCATAAATACATTTTTATGAGGATATGACAAGTCTGAGGATTGATATTTTTTGTGAGAAGAACATGATTAATGAAATTATTTAATGAGAAGGATAAATTATTATTTTAAAAGATTTTTTCTTTTTCTTTTTCATTTTTACCTCTTTGCCTCCACATCACCACTAGCTAGTCGTTGAAAATTTTGTCAACATTGGAAAAATTATCAGAGATGGTCAATGGCGGTGGAGACTTGTATATGGTGGCAATGTGAACAAATAGGTAAATTATATGAATAGATATGTAACATATGGACAAATATGTGAACAAATAGATAACACATGAAAAGATAAGTGATCAAATAGATGACACATAAACATATATGTAGACAATGGATAGATAGGTGTCTAGTTAGGGATAATATGATCTTTTGAATTTTTTTTGTTCTTTCAACCCCCAAAACAAAATAGAGTTTGCAGATATTTTTTATTTTTTTTAAAAAAATTAAACTTATAAGTTATAACCCTGTGTGAGAGAGGGTCTGGGGATGTAGTTAGAAAATTCAATGGTTGCCGGGAAAAGTCACCGAAATCTTCAAATGTTTGAGGGAAAATTCAAATGTCGTCAGAAATTTCAAATCTTCTAGAAATGATGAGAAGCTTAGATTCTTCAATGGTTGCAACTAGAAACAAAATAAGAGAAAGATGGTGGAGATAAGAGATTGGGTGAAGAAGAATGCAAAATAGTTAGAGAGAAAATAATGGAATGGGTCTCCCACTTTCACTCTCAAGATAGATAATGGTAAAGGGAAATTAGTTCTCTTTCAAAAATTATATCTCCAAAATAAACTTGTAAAGCTAAGGGTTGGTGCTATTTATAAGCACCTTATGATGTAGGATAGAACCCATACGCAAGATACATGGGGGATATTCCTTCTAACCACCTTGTCCAAGGAGGTGACCTCTTCGAAAATGAGGAAAACTCCGAAGATGATATCAACCTTTCGGCGAACCCTTTTTCTTAGCTATACCTAACCAATGATCCACAATTATCCCAAAGGGTTAAAGATAGTCCTAGAGGACGCCCTATCGCAGAAAGGTCAGGGGTAGTTCAAGAGAACGTCTTGCTACAAATATTGTCGAGTCTTAAGGACCCCTTAGATCATACCACCTCGACCTGGATATAGGCTAGTTTAATCGAAGAGTGAATTCATATCTACTCACTGTCTTCGGGATCGGGTTCTTTGTTCAGACTCTGTCCCGCCCATGGTTCTAGAGTGCATCAATCTTGAAAAGTTTCGAGCCTACAAGTGTTCTGAGACTCATTAATGGAGCGACTTTTAGATTGCGTTCAAATCTGTTCAAAGCCAAGCACTTCAGACCTCTAAGTTCATGGGATCCAAACCTTTTTTAGTTCAAGTTCAAATAAGTCTCCAAGTTCGTAGTTCCAAGTCCTTTCAAGACTAAACAAATATCTCGAAGAATGTATCTCCTCCTAGGGTTTCCTCTCTTCTGAAAGCAACAATTAACCCTCTCGAATGTCTATATGATCTGGACCTCCTCAAATGGACTTGTTCGACGTTTCTTAGAGATATAATCTTGTTGGACCTCTCCGGCCCACTTGGTTGGCTTTTTTGTGGATTCATTCAATAGAATTCATTTGAGGCCACTTATACAATAATTCTTCTGGACTTATTAATTTTTTAACTTTTCAATTAGACTTTGATTATACTCAATTAATTTAATGGGCTCAAATCAACCCCTATTACAAATCCCAATAAACTTTAAAAAAAATTAGATCCATCGATATATTCTTTTGTATTATTGATTAGAACTAAAAACTAAGGTGTTCTGGTAGAAATATTACCCAAAAAAAAATTGAAAATAGAAGGTTTATCAAAAATGTTACCAAAAAAGTATAAAGGACATTTATGTCAAGTAAACATCACCAGTGTTTACAGTGGTGTTTTGAAAAGTTGGTTAAGAAGTTTATTTTTTATTTTATTTTATTTTTATATTTTTTGACTTTTTGTACTTAAAAAACTAACCCTTTATTTTAAAAAAAAAACCTTTTTTAACTTAACAACATTAAAAAGTTAAAAAATTAACTTTTTACTAGGTAGTGGTTGAAAACAAATTTTGTAGGTTTTTTTTTCATTAAAAACAAATTGATTATAAAATAAAAAAAATAAATCCAAATAAAATATCACATCAATTCTATAATTATTTCACTTTTTTTTTCATAAATATTACATCCAATTATAAAAAAATTTAATTATCTTTTCAAATACCAAAAAAAAAAATTTAATAAATTCTAACTAAAAAAATATATAAAAAAACTCACTTCCTAAATACCCACGGCGTATCCAAAACACGCCACAGGAGCCAAACAAATCTACCAGTATTTCCCTGTATCTTGATTTGACCGAAAGAAGCTTCCCTTTCATGTCTTTTTATACTTTATTTTTTCCTTTAAATTCTAATTCTAAAATTAAAATAATAAGAAATGAGTCATCTCTTTCAAAGAGCAGACTGTTGAACAGCACACCGATGATATAGAAAGAGAAACAGAGGTGAGGTAGACTAGAGAGAGAGAGAGAGAGAACCTTCTTAGATCTGCAAGTTTTTTTTTAATCTTTGAGCTCATTCTTAAATTGGGTCACGAGTGTTCAACGTGAAACCTCTTATCTTTCACTGAGTGGACTCGCATTGATTCACTGTGTCGACCCATTATCAAGCTCATCGTCTGCCTCTCTCTCTCTCTCTCTCTCAGTGAAAGTTTAAGGTGGGTTTGTAAATTTTGTTTGCATTTGGGGAATATTGATGATCTGCGGCATGAAACGTGATTTTCCGGATTGGGTATAGAGTTTTTCCGGATGAGCTCTGGCAGTGGAAAGCCTTGAATTGGAGGAAGAAGATGTGGAATTAAGGCCTAGAAGAGAAAATGTTCAAGTCGGCGCGATGGAGGACCGAGAAGAACAAGGTCAAAGCAGTTTTCAAATTACACTTCCACGCAACTCAGGTAATAATACCAATTTATATCATCCAAGTCCAATCAAAATGTCTATATATATATATTCAGATGATTAATCAAACAGCTATAGTCAAAGTTTGGGTTTTTTTTTTTTTGTTGTTGTTGTTGGGAATTTGGTGACTTTTAGTGTGGAAGCCATTATTTAAGGCAATGTGATTGGGAAATTATAATCTAGCCCCTGTTTGTTTCTTGAGAAAGATTGATGGAAAGAAAGTACAGTAGAATTCTTAATAATGCGTATGCCAAGCAGTTGTATTAGGGTCAGTGGAGCGGAAATGTTTTGCGATTTATGCCTAAATTTTTCTTCTGTTTTCATGCATTTTCTCGGGAACCAAACAGTGAATTTGGAGATAATGGGTATTGGTTTGTGTGTGTTTAGTTGGCACAGGTAGGAAGGGATGCATTGATGATATCCTTCGGAGGGGAAATGTTTTTGTATTCATGCCTAATATTTTCTTCTGTTTTCATGCATTTTCTTGGGAACCAAAGAGTAAATTTCGAGATAATGGGTATGGGCTTGTGTATGTCCAGTTGGCACAGGTGAGAGGGGATGGATTGATGATATCCTTGGTTGCTGCGGATGTTGGAAAGCCAACAGTGAAATTGGAGAAAGCAACAATTCGAGATGGAAGCTGTTACTGGGAAAATCCTGTCTCTGAAACTGTGACTTTCTTTCGTGAGCCAAAATCGGGAAAGATTCGTGAGAAAATTTACTATTTTGTCGTATCAACTGTAAGAAATGTTTTAAAATTTTGAATTTCTATTCTTAGCTTTTGTATCAAGTGAAGCATTTGTGTGAATTCATAAACGGGTTATTGTAGGGATCGTCAAAAGCTGATCTTGTGGGAGATGTTTCAATAGATTTTGCAAGCTATGCTGAATCCCCCAAGCTTTCCTCTGTGTCTCTTCCTCTTAAGAACGCAAAATCCGATGCTGTTTTGCATGTTAGCTCTCTCTCTCTCTCAAAGCTCATACACACACAACACACATTTATGTTTGAATTCTCATTCCTATGTAGACGTCTACTTGCCAATTTGGTTAATGTTCGGAATGCTATGTTTATTGAAGTGCATTTATATAGTCTCATGTGTTTAGTTGTTGCTTTTGAAACAGGTTTCAATTCAAAGGTTGCAGGAAAATGTTTATCAAAGGTGAAAACAAATCGAATACATTATTTTGTTCTTCACTATTTTTCCAAGCTTTCAATTTTCTTATAAGTAGTTTTCGACTTTGAATTTGTGCATTTCTCTATTTGGCAGAGAGGATGAGGAAACAGAAACTACAAAAAATCATGCAGTGGAAAGAAGCTTGAAGACACAATTACCCGTTGGTGACACAAATGGAAGCATCAAAAACGATTCTAGTGAGGTAAGGTCTCATCCCATCTAGCCAAAGACAGGACACTTTGTTTTTCTTCTTCTTATAATGAGGGTGTTAATGACATTTAAATATTTAACATAGTTGAAGAACATACAATTTTCTAGCTATGAGACCATTTTTTTTTTTTTAAATTTAAATTTAATCGGAGCAATTGATAAGAATGTTTTTGTTCATTGTCTATAGGATGGGCCTTTCAATAAAACAATTTCACATATTACTGAGGTGAATGGGAACGACCACCGGGCCTCTAGTGGATCTGATCTTACAATATCAAGCTCTGAGAGCATCTCCGGGCTTGACACCCCTAGAGAATTCAGAGTAAAGAATAATAATGTCCACCTGAACCCTACAAGCTTCCTATCATCTCCGAAATTGGTGCTTCAGAAATCAACCTCCAATGTCTCTACAACAATCCATGAAGAGCAGCAGAGATCACAGTGGGAGTGGTTAGGAGGTTCAGCTCCGGAAGCAAGTACAGATGATTCATCAACCAGTCCTGACGATGCCCTTTTGGGAGAGAAGTCTCAAGAGGCTTTGGACAACGTGATTGAAAAGCTCAAAACTGAACTTTCGTCTTTGTCTAGGCATGCAGAAATGTTGGAGTTAGAATTACAGACTTTAAGAAAGCAAATCGTGAAAGAGGGCAAAAAGGGGCAAGATCTCTTCAAAGAAGTTGTCAGCCTGAAAGACGAGAGAAATGCGCTTAAGGAAGAATGTGAAAAACTCAAGGCCTTCAAAAGCAAGTCGAAGTTTGAAGGAGGGAATCCCCGTACTCTTCTTGAAGAACTCAGACAAGAAATAAATTACGAAAAGGACCTTAATGCAAATCTTCGGATACAACTTCAAAAGACGCAAGAATCAAACTCGGAGTTGATTCTTGCTGTACGTGATCTAGATGAAATGTTGGAGCAGAAGGATAGGGAAATTTTTAAGCTTTCTAATGGATCTAGAACTGGTGAGAATGCTGGAGAATCGCGAGAAACTAATTCAAAATCGGAAACAGATGATGATGATGAAGAGCAAAAAGCCCTCGAAGGGCTCGTTAAGGAGCATAGCGATGAGAAGGAAGCACATATGCTGGAGGAAAAGATCACAGACCTTTATAGTGATTTAGCGATCTACCAGAGAGATAAAGATGAACTAGAGGTGCAGATGGAGCACCTTGCCCTTGACTACGAGATCTTGAAGCAGGAAAACCATGAACTTTTATATAAACTTGAGCAAAGTCAAGTACAAGAACAACTGAAGTTGCAGTATGAGTGTTCGTCTTCTTTTGCTACTGTTAATGAACTTGAAATCCAGATTGAGAATTTGGAAAGTGAACTCAACAAGCAGGCGACCGAATTCTCCGACTCTTTAGCCACCATAACTCAACTAGAAACACATATCAAGGATTTGGAGGATGATCTGGAAAAGCAGGCTCAAGGATTTGAAGCTGATTTGGAGATTCTTACACGTGCCAAAGTTGAGCAGGAGCAGAGAGCCATAAGAGCAGAGGACGATTTGAGGAAGATGCGATCGAAAAATGTTAACACGGCAGAGAGGCTTCAGGAGGAATTTAGAAGGCTTTCGATGCAAATGACGTCCACTTTTGAAGCAAATGAAAAGATGGCTACAAAAGCGCTAACAGAAGCTGGTGAACTCCGGCTGCAGAAGAATCACCTAGAAGAATTGCTTCAGGTTGCAAAAGAAGAGCTTGAGATAGTTAGGGACCATTACGAAGCAAAATTGCACGAGCTTTCCAGTCAAATAAGCATCAAGGTCACGCAAATAGAATGGATGGAATCAGAAATTGAAGCCAAGTCGAAGCAGCTTGAACAAGGAAAGAAGAATGGGGAAGAAACTCGTAGGGTTCTCTCACATGATATAATAATGCTCAGAGCGGAGATTGAAATGCTTAAAACAGAGAATAATATCCTTTCTGATGAACGGGAACAAATGAAGGCATCTATGAAGGAAACTGAAATGCTGCTACAAAGAGGAAACGCGGAAAGGAGTGAGATGGAAAGTGTGATTGCTTTGTTGAGGAAGGAAGCGGACAAGTCAATGGAGGAACAAAACATTCTTAAGAGCCTAAAGGATGAAAAGGAATCGATAATCAGAAATCTGAAATTGGAGTTGGAGAGTCTTAAATCTGAGTGTAATGAATTGGAACGTTCTTTGGTCGAGAATGAATTTGAGAAAGAGAAACTGAGGAAGGAGGTATTGCAGCTAAAAGGCAACCTAAAGAAGAAGGAGGATGCATTAAACAGTTTGGAGAAGAAGCTCAAGGACAACAACAGTCGGTCTACAGTCTTGGATGGAACAAAAACACCTTCAAGAAACAATAAATCTGCTGCTGTTACTCGTGGTCCTAAAGAGATTGCGAATCTGAAGGACAAATTAAAACTGCTCGAGGTAAATTTTCAACTTCATGCAGCATATTAACAAAAAACTTTTAGCTTGAACATGGTTGGGATGAACTATAAATCAGGACTATAGAAGTACAGATATCAAAGGCTGTAAAATAATAATTTTGTTGAATAACAAAATGGATGAAATACTTTTGCCTAGTTCTTCACCAAATTCATGTTTGTTTCAAACTAATTTTCCAAATCTGAGCAATTTTGAACTTATTTCTCAAATCCACGCTGTTTCTTAAAGTCTTACTTTCAAAATGCAACATCAATTAGTTCATTGTAAAACTTTTGAACTTGTTTTAAAAATATAACATCACAAATCAACGCAGGTTTGGGAAATGAGTTTAAAACTGCTTGGGTTATCAAATTAAACACCATCCCAAGCTAGAGAAATAACCCATATGTCACTAGCTAAATTATTTTTTTTATATCATATGAATATGATAAGTATTTTAGCCATCTTGTAAATGTTGCTTGATGTATTAATCACAAAAACATATGAAGAAAACATGATGCTAAATTGTGCACTGTACTGACAATGAGAGCATGTTCTCATCACCAGGGTCAGATAAAGTTGAAGGAAGCTGCTCTTGAGACATCAACGAATTCATTTTTAGAGAAGGAGAAAGATCTTCAGAATAAAATTGAAGAGTTAGAAAGAAGATTGGAAGAACTCAATGAAAATAGTGCCCAATATGAATTCCAAAAGGCTAGTATCTTTGTACTTCATATAATGGACTTGTGCATTTGTTAACAAAATACATGTTTACTGTTAACTAGTAATACTGGTCTAAATTTCTGTTTGGTGCGCACTTACTCATCAAATTCAAATGTCAAAATAATCAAGTTGGACTCTGGACTGAACTTCAATATTATCATTGCAGCACCATGCATTTTTTTTTTCCTATTGAGCAATAATTCGGGCAATGGTTCATCTTTGGATGCAGGTAGCTAAGGATTCCAAGAACATTACTATCAATAGCATACCTGAAGAGGTGAACATTACAGCTGAAAGGTATGTCTCGGTGGAATAAAACTGAACCTTGATACCCTTGTAATCAACTTATAGATCTTCTGATCAGTTTTCTTTTTCCTTGCAGCAATAATGAAATTTCATCAGAGAAAGCGATGGAAGCCTCTGCATTAAATGCCAGAGATGAAAGGAACCTTGATGAATTGTTAAATGAAATGGCATTACTGAGAGAGAGGAACAAATCAATGGAAGATGAACTAAAAGAAATGCAAGAGAGATATTCAGAGATAAGTCTTAAGTTTGCAGAGGTAGAAGGCGAGAGGCAACAACTCGTAATGAAAGTACGTTACCTTAAGAATGCAAGAAAGATCTAATAAACTTTCCCGACAAAACTGGAAACTTGAAACCATTCATAAATGAAGCAACTGGCTCTCTGCCCAGAAATGCTCATATGTACATTGGTAATACACTTCCTTTTTCTTTCTTTCTTTTTTTTCTTTTTTTTTTGGTCTCCCATTGGATAATGTATAAAATTACAAAATAGTTTCCCGTATGCCAAGCAGTTGTATTAGGGTCAGTGGAGCGGAAATGTTTTGCGATTTAAGTGTCTTGGTGTTTATTTCATGCTTTTTTTTTTGTTTTTTTGTTTTTGGTAATATCATATAGTTTGTTTTGATAGTTTGATTTATATTTGTCTAAAATTAGAGAAATTGGCATTTTTGTTCTTCTTGCATCAGAATTACTCATGTACTTAATATTACTTGATAGTTCATCTGTATGACTGAATTGAGACTCGAAGTTTATATGTAAAGTGCTTTATTTTGATTAAATAGCTCTGCCAAATCCATTAGCCAGTCTTTGTTTTTGTTTTTGTTTTTTTGTTGTTTGTTGTTTGTTTTTTTTTTATGATCATCAAGAAAAGACATTGATGTAAATAAGAAGTGCAAGGAGAGTACATCATAACTTAATTAATAAAACAAGCCAAACTAATTGCTCCAAAAGCTGAAGAGAAAATCTCAATATCAGAAACACTGCCCTCTTCATCTAAAGCTAGCAAAAATAATGTAGTAGAATGTTGTTGCTTTAAAGGGATAACAGACAGCCCCATGAGTCATTCCAAAATGATGCTCTTTTCTTCATTCCCCAACTCAATTCTCAAATTTGAAACATATGTTATCAAACAGGTTTAGATTCCAGACATGTATTTCAGATGACAATTCACATTAGAGTTTCATTTCCTTACATTTTCCTTTTCCTTTCTAAATCTGTACTCAAATTCATAATCCGAACATAGCATAAGTGAATTTTCTTCTTTCTCAACACAGTCTCTCCCAAAAAGAAAAACCATTTTGAAACTTTCTTCTACTCTTGAACAACCTTCTTTGGTATCTTAAACAGAGACATATAGATTGGAAGATTACTCATGACTGACTTGATCAATACAAGTCTTTTAGGCTATTACTAATTGCCCAGTGTTTTTCAGCCTAGGATTTGCACCTAAATGTCAGCCCAAATAATTGATTGGCATTGGTTGCTCTTTACATTTTAACAGTTGTGCCATATTACTTAGAACTTCCTCAAGGACTCCAGTACTACTCACAACACTCTGGTACAAATTTATCTCGAGACTTGACATGATCTGAAAACACCTCATAATTCTTTTTTAAAATTTTAACCTCATCTTCATCAACAGCACAAAAAATCAGAGTATCTTCTGCAAATTGCAGATGTGAAAAATTACCCTTATCAGATTGCACTGTTTGGCTCTTTTGAATTGTACTATCAGACCTTCTGGCACGATGAGACACAACAGGGTATGGTCCTATTTGGTGGAGCTTTTTTTAAATTTAAAGTTGATAATTAGAAAGCAAGAACTAAAAGTACCCCTAGCTCAGCTTCCAAATAATCAGTTTTTTTCAACTTATTTAAGCTATTTTTACCTAATAAACTATAAGCAGAAGCTGCACCAAATAGTCTGGCACAGACTCTCAAATCAAAATAAGTTATATTCACCTCTCAAAAACTGTAACAAACAGTCCCTATGTCTAGTTGACAATAATGTTTGGTCTAAATGTACTATTGGAATCCGATTCGTAATATATATATATATATATATAAATAATTATCACTGTTATGCATTTAGATAATTAAACATGTGGAAGTGAGTAACATGACCTCAATTATATATGGTTGAAAAGGTGCACACAAAATGGATAAAATTGTTAAGGCTAAATTACTCTAATCTCTCTTTTAAGTTCAGAGAAAGTATTCTAATTTCTTATCTTCATCTTATTTATTCAAATTCATGTATATACACACCATCCATACTAATTTTGATATTTTTTAACCTTACTAAAAGATAGATCAATATAATTATTCCTAATTAATAGGACATATTGTATTTTTTTTCTAAATTTCAAAAGTGGTCCGTGTAATTTACCCTATTATCAATGTCCGTCAATAACAAAATGGTTTGGGGAATTTGAGGCATGCTTATGATTTATCTCTATATTTGGCATATATTGTCAAAGTCATTGTTGTAAAGGTACTTCAAACTTGGAAGTGTGTTGAAAGGATAAGTCAAAATAAATGAATTTGAGATGGTTGCATGATTCTTTAGTGTAACTTGAACATGAATTTCTTGGAAACAACATCATCTATTTTTATTTTGAATGGAGGTTTGGGAAAAGGGTTACCTAGTCCACCCTTGACCTTGTTCATGACCTGGCAGTGCATTGTCCAAAACTAGGGCAGTCAAAATGTTTCTTTTTTCTTTTTCTTTTTTCCTGGGCCAATTTCACATAAAAAAAATTGTAATGATTATTTACATCTTGTATAATAACTTTGAGGTTATAGATTCAAGTCACAGAACAATCACTTTATACACTATGTTAAATGTTAGGTGCAGGACCGGTCCTGGCCTAAGGCCAGTAAAGCTTGTGCCTTAGGCCCCAAAATAAGGTCCTCAAATTTAATATAGTGTTATAGACTCAAATTATTTTTGTTATTTTAGAGCCAATTTAAAAGGGCTCATTATATTCTGTTGGGCCCATATTTATTTATAAATGTGGTTTAACCTAATTAAAATTAAAATTAAAATATATACGAAAAGTGTTGGTGGCCCATGGAGAAGGAATCCAACCCCCCCCCCCCCCCAAAAAAAAGATTGATAGGAGAGAAAAATATACATACACTGAGCTGCTGTTGGTGGCCCAGGGAGAAGGCATCCACCCAAAAAACAAGAAGTCCAGGGAGAACATTATCTATTTTTAATGTTTTTGAGTTATTGTACTGATTTCTTTCTATATTAAATATAAAAGTAAATTTTAGTTTATAATTTTAATGATTATATGTGCAAGTAAACTTAAATAAAAATTTGTTGATATTTATCATTTTATGCATAAATTTTTTTATTAAAAAATACATATATAAGGGGGGCCTCATTTTCATAGTTCGCCTTAGGCCTCACAAATCTCAGGGCCAGCCTTGGTTAAGTGTGTATATAATTTTTTTTCTCCTAAATACACATTAATGTGTACTATTTGAACGTTCTTTATTTAAGTTATCATTCATATGTAAATTAGGCATAAACGCTATGTAGGTTGGGGGGAAAAAAAAAGTTTAAATTTAAATTTAATAATGTGGTGTATGCCACACTCACAATAAATATAATTCACGTATTTTATTTTCGGAAAATGCTAGAGGTCCCAAATTTTTTACCAAATAAATGACCAAATGTCTCACATGGGTGTGGGGCCCACAAAATTGCGGACCCCACACCCATGTGAGACATTTGGTCATTTGTTTGGTAGAAAATTTGATATCCCTAACATTACCCTTTATTTTCAGCATACTTGTTCTTGATACGGAATAGTACTTTAAATTTCAAGCATGTTTAATAAATGACTCTTCAAAATTCTCCAAGCCCCAATAGCTTGGTCAACAGACCTTCATGTGTCCCTACCTAAAATAAAAAGAATGAGAATGTTGACACTTGTTGCTTCTTTACCCTTCTTTTCCTTCCTATATGAACAAAGCACTCACTTTTGCAGGCTAACAGAAAAATAAGAATAGAATGAAAACAAAAACAGAAAAAACAAAATTGTTTGTGAAGAAGCTAGCCCATGCACCCATGCATGTTGTGTTGTAGCTCTTGTGATGATTGAAGCTTATCATTCAGATCTTGTCTGTCATCAATCCATACACAGTCACAAGAGCCATTACAAGGGAATGATCTGTTTGGGGTTCCACAACTAAGCTCAATACATCATCTCCCAACACAACACCTGAAGATAATTGCTTTTGTGTCACCTGCCAAAAAAGAAAAGCAAAAAATTGCAAATCATTTACTCTTCCACTTTAATAGTATACTATACTACAAACTATCAAACAACAATTCTTGGAAAAGTTTACTTGCTCTGGTGTTTCTGAACTTTTCATTATTTTTGTTTATGAAAACACATGAAAAAAGAATATAAAATTTTTGGAAACATACCAAACAAAACAAGTTCTGTTTTGCAAATATTTGGACTAACCTCTGCAACAAGTCCACCATGACTGTCTGTAATCTTGAATGCTAATTTTCCAGCCAATCCTATTATTCTGTAGCTAATTACTTTAGCTTTATCGCGCCCCAAAGTAACGTGACAAGCCATTTCTCTCCCAAGAAAGTTGCTGTTTGTTCTTGCTTGATACCATGGTTTCTCCAACTTGTTCATTTTAGAACCACTCCATTTATAAATATCCCAATGTCCCAAGAAACTTAGTTTCTGCAAGAAAACAACACACAAACAAGATCACACAATTTAGTAAGTGTTAATTACTTGGAATTAGTCTGAATGAAACTCAAGACACAATCAAAAACACATGATGCCACTCATTGCTTGCTTGATACCTTTCGTCGGATAGAAAAGAGAACTTTGCCTTGAAGATCCATGAGATAGACTTCATTGCTACTCTTTTCATCATAGTTGTCAATACGATAAACGATTTTTCCATTCGAATGGAAAACCGTGCATCCATTTCCATGGAACACAAGTGATTTCATCCATATGGTAAATGTTTCTCTTGTAGAAGTCATGTAAGAAGAACAAGTAGGTGTTTGAGGATAAATCTTAGCCATTGAAAGACTTAAAAAGGGCTTGAATGAGTTGGGTTTGTGGATGGAGACTTATCTGTCAAAGACCTAATATATTTTTGCAAGAAAGACAAGTGCAAGATTTCAAAGATTAGCATATTGCAATGTGATTTACATGAACACTAATTTTAAAAAGCATTATAAAAAAATAAAGATAAAGATTTTGCAACCCTTAAATGGTTGTTTCAAAATTGTCTAGGTCACTTTCTGGCCACATCAGTTCTGTACTTTCGTTTCTTTTGTTTCAGTCGACGTGGCATAAGGTGATTGGTCAGCATGTGAGGATGAGGAGGCTGACCTGAAGACACATATTATTAGTCAATGGTGACTTTGGTTTGGTCTCGTTTAAACCATGTATCATGTACATTGTATATATGTAAAGTTTGGGGCGAATTACACATGTAATCTTTATAGTTTGTCTTTTTTTGTCAATTTATTTCTATTGAGTTTTATTGTATCAATGTAATTAAATTGATAATACCTGTTTAAAAAATAACCTGAAATCAATGAGCAAAATAATATATTTAGGCCTCATTTGGGAAGCGACTGGTTTAGCTAAAAAGTCAAAAACTTACTAAAAAAATCAAAAAGCCAACAACTCATACCAAAAAGTTAAAGATTCCTTTTTCTCTCTACTTTTTGAGCATCTTTTCGTAAAAAATCAAAAAGACATCCCAAACATACTAGTTTTTTTTACATTACATTTTAGCCAAAAAGTCAAAAAGTTATTAAAAAGCCCTGTTCCCAAACGAGGCCTTACTCTCCTCAAAGTGATTAAGGGATCAACATCGAATTTGAAATGATTTAGCCTCTTTTGAATAAATCATTTTGCTCTTAATTTCTTTTTTAATTTCTTAATGAATGCTATTAATTAAATTAAATTGATACAGTGAAAAAAATTAAAAATTATAATTGATACAATTAAAAATATAAAAATTAAATTGACATAAGAAATAAATTACAAGATTACAAAATAATTTGCCCTAAAGTTTATAAAGGCCTGTCTGTTTGAATACCATACATTTTGCTTTGGTGGAAGCAGCCCTCCCGGCCTTTATCTTTTGACTACCTTTTATTAATGCTCTTTCTTTTTTCTCTTTCTTCCTTTCTCTTATTTATTTATTTATTTATAATTAGAGCATTTAGTGAAAAACAAACCAGGAGCTCAAAGGCCATGTAAAGAGTCTACTTCTATAATGGAGTTTGTTAATGTCATGGGGAAGATAAGCATGCACAATGTTCTAGTTATCTGTTGCTTGTAACCTTATCACTTCAACATAATTTATCCTAAATGATTTATAAATTAATACATTTTATAAAATTTTCTTAGTTAAAATTAGGAATGGCAATTTAAATCCGGCCCGACGGGGACCTGACCCCCCGACCCCGATCAGAATGGTTTTTCCCCGAAAAATACTCCTGTGGGGACGGGGATGGCATTTGAAATTAAATCCCCGAAGCATTTCGGGCCGGGGATGGGGATAACATTCACAGCCCCGGACCCGGCCCGTCCCCGTCCCCGTATCTCCCCCGAAGTGATATTACGACTATATCCCTGTCTATATATATGTTTGTGTTTAGGGATTGTTGACACAATCACAACACAAACAAAATGAGGCTGCTCTCTCTCTCTCTCTCACTCTCATCGCCGTTCTCTCTACTCCCTCAGACCACGTCTCTCATCTCCCTCTCCCTCTCCCTCACTCAAATTTCTCTCCCTCAAACCACGTCTCTCATCATCTAGAACAGATCTAAACAGATCCGCCCTCCGTCATCATCATCTCGATCAGATCTAAACAGATCTAAACAGATCCGCCGATCCTCCACCACCACCACCTTCGTCGCCATGGCTTCCTCGTCGCAACACCGCCTCTGTCCGGCCTCCACTGTAGCTCCGTCGCAACAGTGTTGATGATGATATATCCGCGGTTTTTTTTTTTTTTTTAAAGTTGTTGTTGATGATGATGATATATATATATATATATATATATGTGTGTGTGACATGAACAAGTTCAGATTTTTGAGATTTGAGATTTTTTTTTTGAGATATATATATATACTAGCGTATGCCCGTGCCTAAAGGCACGGTGTAAATAATATTAAGATTAAAATGCAGTTATAAAAATATATTTAACAGACTGTACTCTACAATTCCAAATAAATCAAATATAAAAAAATTAAATATCAAATAATGCACACAAATCAAAAGAAATTAAAAGAAAACTCTTCTATCATTAAAACATTGCAAAATCAATAAAACATTGTGATCCATTGACAAAGATTAAGAGAATAGAACACATGAAGCAAAACCCACATTATAACCTCCTTTCTATTTACATTACATTAACAAAACAATTCACACATTTCACAGCACCAACACTTCAAAGATTCCCCCCCCCAAAAAAAAGAGCATGAAATTGAACAAAGAAAACCATACACAACGATTAAAAAAAAACGATTGAAAATAATAAATTTCAAATTTTATCTTATACATATCAAACAATTTTTTTTTTCATTGATAAGCAAAAACCGGCTGCTATGAAGAATGAATAATGCCCCTGCTCTCATGAGTCATATCCCTAGTTTAAGGTGAATACACAATGAAATCTATTGAAAATTCATATGCCAAAGATTAATGTTTAGGTAAATTAGAAAGAAATAGGATTTCTGGTGCAATATCTTTATATGACTTAATAGATTGGGGTGTTTCTATAAATGTTAAAATAAAAAATAAAATAAAAAGTGGTTTTTTTCATTGATAAGCAAAAACCGGCTGCTATGAAGAATGAATAATGCCCCTGCTCTCATGAGTCATATCCCTAGTTTAAGGTGAATACACAATGAAATCTATTGAAAATTCATATGCCAAAGATTAATGTTTAGGTAAATTAGAAAGAAATAGGATTTCTGGTGCAATATCTTTATATGACTTAATAGATTGGGGTGTTTCTATAAATGTTAAAATAAAAAATAAAATAAAAAGTGGTTTTTTTCATTGATAAGCAAAAACCGGCTGCTATGAAGAATGAATAATGCCCCTGCTCTCATGAGTCATATCCCTAGTTTAAGGTGAATACACAATGAAATCTATTGAAAATTCATATGCCAAAGATTAATGTTTAGGTAAATTAGAAAGAAATAGGATTTCTGGTGCAATATCTTTATATGACTTAATAGATTGGGGTGTTTCATGAAATGTTAAAATAAAAAATAAAATAAAAAGTGGTTTTTTTCATTGATAAGCAAAAACCGACTGCTATGAAGAATGAATAATGCCCCTGCTCTCATGAGTCATATCCCCAGTTTGAGGTGAATACACAATGAAATCTATTGAAAATTCATATGCCAAAGATTAATGTTTAGGTAAATTAGAAAGAAATAGGATTTCTGGTGCAATATCTTTATATGACTTAATAGATTGGGGTGTTTCTATAAATGTTAAAATAAAAAATAAAATAAAAAAGTGGTTTTTTTCATTGCTAAGAAAAAACGGTTTACGAAAATTCGAAAAATAATTCGTAAAAAGTGGGTTTTGTTCATTACAAAAATTTAATTAAATCAAAAACAATTCACCAACCAACCTTTTTATGTTTGTTCAAAAAAAAAAAACACCAACCTTTTCACCTGTTTTTTGAAAATGACATTATGTGTCCGAGCGTCTCTGATTCTGAAGGCATGACGAAAACATCTCCGCTCGCATATGCTTGAGAGAGCTCTTCACCTCCTAACGTCCCTGTGAATACGGCAGGCATGCCGGAGAACAGCTTTTCGAGATCCTCCCTGCCACGAAGAAATCAAGGTGTTGAATAAATTTTGCCCATGGTTCTTACTGGAAAATAAATTCAGGCGATCATCATGGCCCAATTTGTGTATCATTGGATGTATGCAAAAATATAAAAATAAATAATTCATTTCGTTAGACAGCGGTTTGTGGTTTTTAATACAAAGAATCATGTTATACTATATTCTATAGAGATTGTTCCAGCAATGTTGACAAAACTAAACAGCCAATAAGTCCTTAGAGAAATACCTGTATGGTCCATCTCCAATAAAAGCAATTTGTGCCTCCGGTATCTAGTCCATGACACTGTTCAATCATACATCCCAAATATCAATGGTTACAACTTATAATAATTATGAAAAAAAAAAGCATTATTCCGTCAATATTTTGCAAGTAATATTTCCTAAATTGCAAAAGCAGAAAATACTTATCATTTGAAATAAAAGAGCAGTACCTTTTGAGTAAATCCAAACTCTTCTCAACTCCTAGTCGTCCAACATGGACTATCAATGGTCTCTCAGGCTCCCCATTGCTGATTTAAAAAAGAACAATATATTAACATTTGAAGGAAACTCATATTACATGGCAATGAAATTTTAAGGATCGAAAGAAAGCCATACCTTAGTCTTATTCACATTTCTTGAGAGCGATATTTGGGATAGAAGCTTTCGGAATCAACACCCTTATTCCAGAGACGAATCTTGTTACCTGAAAAAACAAAGAATTAACATGGATATGAGCTGCTATTTTCAGAGAACCATTTAAAAAAAATAAAATAAAAATTCAAGCAGAAGCATAAATGTCAAATTCTGTTATGTGATCAATGTGAAATTTTAGAAAGTAATGGAAACACAGATTTTAACACAAAATTGACTGAGTTACACCGTGTGTTCCATTGTGTTCAAATTGATTTCAGAATTTGATTCAGAATTTGATTACAGGAAGTCAAATTTGATTTCAGAATTTCATGTCTACAGGAAGTCAAATTTGATTTTGTGATTTCAGAATTTGATGACTATAGGAAGTCAAATTGACTATGCGTTCCAATTCCCCACACATTTAACTCCAGTTGTGGTTATAATTCACTCAACAACACTTTCTTTGTCTTTCTCTTTCTCTTAGCATGATTTCAGAATTTAACACACGTTTAACATGTGATTTCAGAATTTAACACACATTTAACTCCAGTTGCGGTTATTTTAGCATGAATTATTAACATGAGTACTCTTTAATTTTTACTCAAGGCACGCTGTAAAAAACAGGAAATCAGTCAACCTGAGTCAATTTTATTATTCTGAAAGTCATAGACTAACCCAGCAGAATTTGATAAAATAAAATTTAAAGTCAAAGTCACAAATGATCTTTAAATGATCATAGTCCAAAAATAAAATTCTGCTAGGTGGAGTAAATGATCTTTGATACAATCATAGAATCCAAAAATCAACTCAACAAAAGCAACTGACTTCAAGCAACTGACTCCAAGCAACTGACTCCATTCTATTGTGAAGCTGCCAATTGGCCACATAAATATTATATTTAGTACAACTCTCTACATGAGAACCCCAAAATCATAAAGAAATAACAAATATCACATGAAATAGAATGAAAAAATTAGAGATTAAAATCCCTCATTTATGTATGTAATGACAAATTAGATCGATAGTGCGTATGGTTGGAAATGGAGAGCTGAAAAAGAAAAGAAAAAAGAAAAAATAGAAATTACCATAGAACTTATCCTAGCTTGGCGTCATCGGTTGATCTCACTCCACTTGTCTGCACACATACACTTTCACACAATGGTTTCTCTTTTTAATAAACAATGGCATTGTCAAATGAGAAAAAAAAAATAACAACGAAAATGAGTAAGCTTAACAATGTATTAATCGGAGACCTGATCACCATGGGTCCATTACCGCCATAGGTTCTCAATCATAGCAACTAATGCTTTCCTTTCAGCAAAACCAACTAAAATCTAAGTGTAAGAGTGCAATCTAACAAACAATCAAAGTAAAATACCTTTTTCAGAGTCTAGTTAAAGATTGACAATGGTTGAGTACCCAGTAGGCATCACTCTAAGCCAATCCACTACTGCCGATTGGTACCAAATTGTATTGATTCCAGACTTTAAAAAACAAAAAGAAGAAGAAGAACAGTTAAGAAATAACATCGCTACTTTAGAAGTCTGGAAGTGATAGAGAAAAGAACATGATCAGAACTTCATATTAGATACTAACCTTATTGAGTACCCAAATTTTACCATTAGCAGTTGGTTTTGGCACACCATGTCCATTATAATGGAAGAGAACTCTATCAGAATTGGCATTCAAGCTCATAATGTGCCTACTTACATGTCGTGAAGAATAAGTTAAAACATTATTTGATATTAAATTTTTACACAAAAATAATATATAAAAAAATCTCACTTTGGGTTGCCATCGTTTATATTGGCCAAGCAAAGAGTTCCCATTTGTTTTATTTACCATTATAGTTGCAATAGAAAATGGATCTACAAACAAAAGGAAGAAGTGAAATGACATAAATACTTTCATAACATTAAACCTATACCCATAAGAAATAAATCTAAGTGACTCCAGCCATCATCAAATGCACAACCAATATGACAACAGGTGCCACAACTTCAAAAGCAAATTAAACATAGAATAAAAAGCCACAGGTTATGTAGTTAATTGCAGGCCACAAAAAATTCAAAAGGTCAAAGTAGATACACCCATACAACAAACATTTCAAACTAATTTCATAAATTAAAACCCATTTCATAAATCAAAAGCTTTTCAAAATCATAGGAAATTAACACCCATTTCCCATTAAAGAATCAAAACCATGTCAGAAATCAAACTGAAAATAAAAATTCATTTCTGAAATCAAAACCCATTTAAAAAATGAAACCCATTTCATGAAGATCAAGTATTATTTCACACCCAAAACCTTTTACAAAATTAAATCCATTTAAGAAACACAACTTATTTCAAAAATCAAAACTCATTTCTCATTTCAAAATCAAACCCATGTTAGAAGCCAAACTGTAAATACAAACCCACACAATGACCAACCCAACCAAACACCCACAAATGTCAAAAAGGTTTACAGTTTAAAATTGATGAATTGCAATTTCAACACCAATCCACAACTCACAAAAATAAATGATCTAAGATTCAAAAAAATGAAAAAATATCTAGAATCCAGATTCAACAAAAAATAACCAGATTAAAAGATATTCAGATTCAACCTTGCAAACCCACAAAAATATCTAGATTCAAGCAATCAGAAACAAACAAACCCACAAAAATATCATGAATTGCAAAAGTTGGAAGTTCTAGATTCAAGCACACACACACACAAAATAAATAAATAAAAATAAATAAAAAATAAAAACCTAATTTTAATTCATATTTCCAATCACTTTCCTTTTCTCTCCACAAATCACTCTCCAAATCCAAGATTCAAGCACAAACCCAAAAAAAAATCCAATTTTAATTTTTCTAATCATTCCGCTGCCTTCAATTTCTAAAACTCCCAAAACTTTTGCATAAATACACATATTTAAACAAAAAAAATCCTAATTTTGAGTGGGGTTATGTAGCTCCACGAATGATAACTTGGATATACAGAAATATATGCATACATAATCCCCACAAAACATATATATCAATATGTGTAGATATATCAAGTTACTCATACATAAAATACACAGGTAGACATTCAAATACCCTATCTTCTAGGGAGAGATTGATTTGATTCAGTGGGGGAAAAAATGAAGAACTTAACTAATTAAAATACCTGTTTGGGATCTCTTTTATTTTTTTGGACTATTATTTTTGGACTATAAAATAAAATTTATTGACCCAGCAGAATTTAAAGTCAAAGTCAACCTGAGTCAAGTTTATTTTTGGATTCTTTGATTCTATGATGCGAGAGATAAACTAACCCAGCAGAATTTTAAGGCACAAAGTCAGAATTCAAGGCAGCAGAGTTTTAAGGCACAAAGTCACAAATGTATGAGTTTTAACCCAGTAGAAATCACCTGAGATACGAAACTAAAAACTAAGAAACAATAAGGAAATTATTTACACTTGAATAGAGAGAGAGGGAGAGAGAGAGAGAGGGAGGGAGAGGGAGCACAATGTAGGTCCCCAAAGGCTCAAATGTTGAAGAAATGAAGCCCCTTCCCACAATTACCAGAAAATCCTTCAATGATCAACCCAGAATAAACAATGAAAAAATACAAATGAACAAATAATGGAAAAATACATTCACATTCATGATCTGTCTATCTCTCGCATCTAAATCTTCCTCAATTTTCAATAACATCTCTCAACCTTAACCCTAATTCCTTATTTATCCATTTCCCAGATCCCCAATTTCTCTCTCTCTCTCTCTTATGGCGTGTGTGAAGAGGGTTAACAGATCGGCGTCGGTGGCGTTCGCACCGGACCCCCCCATACATGGCGGCGAGGACGATGGCCTTCGTCGGTGAATCTCGAGATCTTCGAGGTCGATTTCCAGTCCGACGATCGTGAGCTCCCCGTTGTCGGCGATTTAATCGGGTCTCTTGGGGGAAGAATAAGCAACACTATCATTTGCACAAACAGAACCAGCAAGAAATCTATCAGACAAAAACCTCACAACCCAACCTAAATGACCCGTAAATAAAACCTCACAGCCCGACAGAGAGAGAAGGAGAGAGGTAGAAAAAAAGACTGAAACCACTGAAACAATTAAAAAACATACACAACTCGACAGAAACAGAAGGGGAGAGGCAGATATCTTACCTTGCGAGCCGAGTTCGAGAGACAGATATCAAGGACTGGAGAGCAGCGTCGGGAGCTAGCGAAGATGGAGGGTAGGAAAGAAGAACCATTGGATGAGAGAGGGAAGGGTGAGGGAGAGACGTGTTTAGGCAGATGTGAGAGAGAGAGCAGAAATTGTTTGGGTGGTGAAAAAATTGATGACAACCGTTGGATATTGATTGGGATTATCTCTGCCATTGGATCAAAATGTATCTCACATACATTTTGATACATTTTCAAAAAACCTCTTGGCTTATTATATAGATATCTTCGTCGCCAGATTTTTGATATATATATATACTAGCGTATGCCCGTGCCTAAAGGCACGGTGTAAATAATATTAAGATTAAAATGCAGTTATAAAAATATATTTAACAGACTGTACTCTACAATTCCAAATAAATCAAATATAAAAAAATTAAATATCAAATAATGCACACAAATCAAAAGAAATCAAAAGAAAACTCTTCTATCATTAAAACATTGCAAAATCAATAAAACGTTGCGATCCATTGACAAAGATTAAGAGAATAGAACACATGAAGCAAAACCCACATTATAACCTCCTTTCTATTTAAATTACATTAACAAAACAATTCACACATTTCACAGCACCAACACTTCAAAGATTCCCCGCCCCCCAAAAAAAAGAGAGCATGAAATTGAACAAAGAAAACCATACACAACGATTAAAAAAAAAACGATTGAAAATAATAAATTTCAAATTTTATCTTATACATATCAAACAATTTATTTTTAGCTTAGTACTTAAATTTTGATCAAACAACTTTTTAACTCAATAAATTTAACATTCAATTTTCAATACTTAATTTTTAAACATTACCTGTGTAACGCCCTCAAAATAATAACATTAAACCCATCAAATATAACCTGAGTCGAAACCTTATCATAAGACATAGAACTAAAGTCAGAAAATATAAGTAGAGTAATCTACCTAAAACTCTATCTTTTATGTAGTAAATTTGTATTTGTAAAATTGTTACAAATCTTTTATAGGTTACGGCAAATTACCGTGGGTAAAACTGATAGCTTGAACTGCCCTCAATTATGTATTCATTCGGCGGAAAGATGTTGCTATTGAGACTGGACCGACCGCAAGATTAAGCCTGAGTCTGCATAAAAACCTTGTGAATTTAAAGACTATCAAATTAATACATTAAAGACTATCAAATCTTGTGAATTTAATAGTTTGTTGAACTTAATTAGCAAAAAAAAACAGAGTAAGGGTGTTGAATACTCACAGAGGCCGACTATAGGCGGTAAATTCGCAAGCTTTGAATAACTTATTCCCTGCAGTGTGAGATAAAATCGACATGAGATCTGGGAAGAAGGTATAGATTTTCTTCTTTGCTATATATTTTTCTGGGATAGTATATGACCCCGATATGTGACATAGAACAAATAATTTTCCTAGCCGTTTAGTCGTGTTTCTATTTGTAGTTTTTTTGAAAAACGAAGACAATGAAAAATTCTAAAAATGGCCATCATTTTAATATTTATGATTATATATATATATAT